TTGAACAGTTTCAAAGAGCTCCATATAATTATTCAATTAAAAAACTAATTATCTGCAGCATTCCATTATCAGTTATTGTTAAGAATACGACATTTTAAAAATTAGTTTGACGTCCCCGAAGTACTGGGTTAAACTGTATGTTCATAATTACTTATTTAAAATTGACTATTTATTTATTCTAAATTGATTTGTAAAACTAAGCTTTAAATATTTTGGTTTTAAATGTGAAGAAACAGATAACTTTAGATTGTCAAACCACAAAAAAACTTAATAAAAATAATAATAATAAATATTCGGAGCCAGATTGCTAGGCTCAGAGGTAATTCTGTAAATGTAGAATGTGAGACTACTTCCAAAGGCTCAAGGTGGCCCTGAGCCTCCTTCATCTACAATATGCATTTAGCATTTTTTTTTACATTCATGTTTCCCTGCCGTCGTTTTTCTAACTGATAAACAATATTATTCTGATAATTGCTCTATTTAAAGAATTTAAGGTCATCATTGAAGTCTCGTCCTTTATGGTCAACCCTATATATATACCTTGATAGTAACTCGTCCTTTATGGTTAACCCTATATATATACCTTGATAGTAACTCGTCCTTTATGGTTAACTCTATATTTATACCTTGATAGTAAATGAGGGTAGGGTTCATTCTCGATATCATTAAATGATTCATCCTCATTTTCATGATCATTTTGATCAATTCTTTCATCATATTCATGAGGATCATTGCTCTGAAGATCACTTGACTTATCAACGTTCTCATTGTTATCATTTAGTTCTTTATAATCCTCCTCTCTTTCTCTTTCATCAAAGTTTATTAAAAGTTCTTCACTTTCACATCTTCCCAATTCTTCGCTATTCATTTTCGTAGCTTCATTTATCCTCTCATTCCAAATTTGCTGGCTCTCTATTGCTCGTAGCTCCTTGTTTAAAGAGCAGCTCCCTGAAGCTCCAAGCTCCCTATCTAAAGAGCAGCTCCCTGAAGCTCCCAGCTCCCTATCTAAAGAGTACCTCCCTAGTCTACCCTCCTCCCCAGAAATTATTGAGGAAAGGATGGTAAGTTGAGAACCAATCTCCTAAAAAAGTTATGAAAATATTTAAATCTATAATAGATGAATACAAAAATAAAGTGTGTCACAAAAAAGTGGTTGGTTTTCTAAACATATTCATGGAGCACATCAAATTAAGAATTTACATCTTTTACCAGAAGCTAACACAATCTTTTACCAGAAGCTAAC